CCCCCCCCCCCCCTACCCAAATTATCGTAAATTTATCAAAATTTTTCCTACAACTATCACTTTTCGACAAATTATGTAAAATTGTTTGCTCACTATATATATTTTTTGCCCGACAAGCGTGTCGTTGAAATAATTGTTAAACTTGCCCGACGAAACTACAATATTAATGTGTTGATTAGCCTTTCAACGAATTTCCACTTACATATTTCGGCCATTTTGCTCTTTTCGGCATAGTTCGAACTTCGAACCACTGACGGGTTAATGGTCTATTAACCATGTTCGAACCATGCCGAATTCTTTGAAAGACTCGAATATAAAAAAAGAAGAAAAATCCATGCTGCAGGGAAGAAGGATGCGGGTGGGGACGAGAAACTACTCTTTTTTTACTTGGCCTAATGAACTTTTCGTCAACTCTCACTTGCTGTTCGGTACTTCGCGCCGCTGTTCGTGCCATGTTGTTATTTTGGCGCCATATTGCATTAGTAGCTAGCAGTTTGTCTATTTTAATATTTGCGTGTGTTCATAGGTTATTTGGTAAACTTTAAGAGCAATATTTGAAGGTTTAACGAAAAAAAAGCGCTTGCGTTCTCCTTTTTTCAAAATTCGGACGAGAAACTGCTAATTTTTTTTACTTGGCCTTACGACTCAGATTTTGCATTCACTATGAGCATAAAAACAGCTTGCTAGAATGTTGCATTCACTATGAGCATAAAAACAGCTTGCTAGAATGTTATCTCTCCAATAATACTACCACTCACTACTATAACTAGAAGGTCTGCAGGTTATCAGTGCGGATTGCTAGCTATAAGTGCATGGTTCGAATTCAAGCAATCAAGCTTGGTTATTAATGTCCCTATTGAATGGCCCCAAAGAAGCAATCTGATCTTTCACGTGTCATGCTCATGGGCAAATAATGTTAATGAGGTCGAGTGATGCCGGAGTTGGCGGCGACGAATTATTAGAGGGGACATTTGAAGCTTAAACTAACCATATGAACTAATATAATAAGTGTTCGAACTACGTTTTGTTAATTAACTCAAATAAAATGCATGAGCAGAATTTGGAAATTGGATTAATTAAAGAAAAGCTAACGAAGGTCGCGTGACTGTCGTTTGATCCAGGCTCTACCCAATCGTTACACGTGCGAGATGGCGTGTCTTTTCACGTGTTTACAGATGATTCAATTGAGGTTATCCTTCCAAAAACTGAAACCTTAAACTCTGAGTGCGTAAGGGATGATGGGTTTTCACCTATTAGACCCTTAAACTCAGACAATTGCCTTTACAGCAAGTATGTTTTCTAGGTTTTCCTGCAAAGCCAAATTTCAAAGTTTATGAGTCTAAATAAGCAAGAACCCATCATCTCTTGCGCGCTCAGAGTTACGCTTTTGGAAGGACAACCTTAATTGAATTAGCTGTATACAAATATATTTATAAATCAAATATATTTGGGAGCAGGTCCGAGTCCGTGGAAGCCCGCGAGCGGACCTTTGCAGGTTATCTCAACGAACCGTCCGCGCTCGTTCAGCGCGACCATGCATGCATGAAGAAGCGAACTCTTAATGCTTAAAGTACGAGGCCGCGTATTTCAAAAAATTTTCTTGCCACTAGGCAGTGTAGGCACTGGCACAAGCATACCACAGCAAGTGCGGTCTAGTACCCGCATAAACAACCTGTTTTTTGCGGTTGTCACGTGGTTTTGGTAATGCGAAATACGATCGGTGCATTACTCCATTAGACACGCACGCACAGGATGCACAACTATATAGAAATGTTTTTCATTTTGATGTGTACGCGCGACTGTGCAGTATGTGAGTTGGGTTGCTTTTAAATAAATTGTGTCGTTGTTCTACTCGTAACTATGATTAATGCCAAACCACATAACTCAAATCAGGGCAATAGTTCTGATGATAACTTTTATGAAAATTTGACCGAAGGGGAACCAATAGATCTCGACTTGTTTACAGCGTGCGCAATAGGAGAGTTTGAGTATGTAAAGACGCTTATTCATGCGAAATCTGACACAGATATTGTAAATAAATCAAACAGCAGTGGATGGACGTCCTTGATGTATGTATGTTATGTCGGAAATGATAAGATAGTAGAGTTACTCATACGTGAAGGAGCTGATGTATTATTTCAGGAAGACAAAGGTGGATGTACGCCATTAATGTTTGCCGCAAGTTCTGGCAACATTTCTCTTGTTAAGCGTCTGGTAGAGGTAAGCTTGAGTAAATAACTACACATTTATGTTCTAATTTCTCTGTAAAGTTTTCGGTCGCTGACACACTTTATTACGTTTGTAAAATGCCATAAATATCGTAGTATTCAAGGTCAATTAAGGTTTACTAATTATTGTTATTACTACTATTTATCTGAAACTATTATGTTTATGATCAGAGACTTCGTTAATATGATTTACTTGACTATGAATTTTTCTCATGATACTATTACGTGTGTTATTCATGTGTTAGGGATTATTGGAAGTGTAAATCAGATAAAATATGTGGGGTGATGTGGGACCACATGTGATTATTAACTTATTAATGCATTGATGGTGATCATGGCACGTGCATTGCTGAGATCTGCAATTAATTTCAGGAATTCTAGGAATCAGTTATTCAATCTGCTTCAGTATTTTACCCCATGGAGTTTGTAGGTGGCTAATTCTCGTAATTGTCATAGTTTTATGGTCAACTTGGTTATTTATGTGAACATCTACCACACTTCTACTAAATTGTGTTATTGTTGCAGCACAGGAGAGCTATCCATGCACTGAGCAAAATAGTATTTGTGCGTGTTTGCTCAGCACCTGAGCTTGCTTTAGCTTTAACTTGCTGTGTGGGCACCTGTGAATTTCAAGTGTGTGTGTGAATGTCAAGTGTTGTCCTGTGTAACTTTGAGTCGAATATCAATATCATGCAGACTTAGTCAAAATACAAAAATGGCCCACTTACGCTTCCGTAGTCTGTTGTCATTTACTGTAATTTGTTCTGGTTTTTTTGTAGTGTTGTGGATAATGATTTATCAGCAAATACTGCAATAAAATTGAATATAAAATTCACAGGCTAAAATCTAATTTAGAAGTTCATCGCTCATCTGAGTAGTGAGAATGTTGACATAACTTGCAAGGCACACTTGAGTCCATGCTGTTGATTGGTATAACCCAGTACTGTGTTCTGTAATATCATAGTGTGTTATGTAATCATTAGATAACCACCGATTTGTTAAAAAACTTTATAATCCCGATTCATGCACAGTGTGTATCAAGGGTATAGGGTAATTCTGCTTGGCTATTTACACATAGGAAAAGGAAAACTAGTGGTACATGGCATTTAAATGATGAAGATTGTAAGTAGCATATGGACTGACATTCATGCCAAGTGCAATAATTTATACATACATTATTGTAATAACATGGATCGAGGTACATACCTATGTTATGGTCTGTAGTACATATTTTTCTTTAGCCAATTGCCACATATGTGGCAACATTGCCATCTTCATACTTACATTTTGTTGGCACCATATATGACTACTGTAGCAAACATTCCAAGGTATTCAAAACCATAATTAAGTGGATCTATTTTTGTAACTCAGACATGAAACATGATTGGACTGATGGAACAAGATGATGCTAAGAAATGTTGTAGCATATGGTAGCAAGCCGGTCATTAGGCTTGCAAATTAGTGCTGGTCATCAAACATTGTCTGGCCAAATTTTACCTGGTAAAATGCCCTGGTTAGATGTCCTGAACAATTTGTGAAATGTCCATCCCCACCATTTCTTGCACAAGATTTATTAATTCTAAATCTAAATCACCTTTGTATATCATGGTAGAACCATAATTTACTGAATCATGCATTAGGGCTGACAGATTTAACAAACTCAATTTTAGATGAATTGCAGCTAGTGCAGATCAACATGACCAGCCAAAATATGTAGTGCTAATTTTGAAAAAAATATGAAACATTTTACTTTGTCCATGAAAACTGGATAAATGTAAGACCACTTTCTGTCTAATTGGCCAGACATTTTCCTTCCAAGCATAACATACTGAACCTTTGGAACGTTCAGTATGTGTTTGTACAGTATGAGCCTCTTCTACGGCCAAACCGCCAAAGGCAGAATTACACAAGGTCAGGATTGTGCCGACTGAGGGTGTGGGGTACAAAATTAAGGTCCAAAAAATGTTAAAAACATACAGTATTTAAATACAGTATTTGGGGGGGGGGGCAAAGACATCGGTCAGTACGGCCCTGCACAAGGTAATTGAATGAATATCCTTTAGAAAATTGTGCTTTACGTACTTTATCATAAAGGGTACATACAGTACACCTTAAGTTTGTACCAGCTTGGAGTAAGTATGCAGCAATAATGGTTAAAGTCAGCACTTGAGGTACAAGTACAGCTCTTGAATTACTGCACACTGTCACTGCTTTGGAGATGGGCAAATGAAGCAAACATGTGGAAATTGGGAAAAATCATGGAAATTGGGAAAACTCGAAATTGTGTGAAAACACTCCACCCTTCGGGCGTCGTGTTACCACACAATTTCTCGTTTTCCCAATTTCCACTCGTGTTGATATAACTGTATATCAACACGGAAAATGTTTTATATTTGTTAATCATCAACTATCAACTGTAAATATTGATGGGCCAATAATAGTGAAGAAATTATATAGTTGAGGGGCAAACTCATATTTGGGGGGGGGAAGATAGTATTTTTAAAAAGGTACTGCTATTTGCCTATGCCGTTGTCACAGGACTTTTATCCCCCAGGAGATTCGCCCCCCTCTCAAAAGGGGGCGATATTCCTAGGAATATCGCCCCCCCCCCCAGAGGGGCGAATGCCCCAGGAATATCGCCCCCCTTTAGG